CCAATTATAAGCAAGATATTTTGAGTAAAAGAGTATAAAGAAAATCTTAAGTCATGAGTTAAACATTAATTAGAATGTCATTATTCACCAAGCCTTTTATTAAACATTAACAAGCATAATAAACACTTTCTCTGTCAACCCTCTAAGTAGTCAAAGTGCAAGGGACTTCTCAGAATAGGCCATCAATTAGAATAAAATGCAAGCAGCCTGAGTAATTCACAAATTGGCTAACTGGCTGGTGAATTACAGCCTTCCCTTTGTGCCTTTCTTACCTGGAAGAAGTATGACTGTAGAGGTTGATCCTTATTTTCTTCATCCACATATAATCCTCCTACCACATATACCTGGTTTTGCTGGGTAACAGTGCTGGAATGATTTCTGGGGATCTGCTCAGCCAGTGCAGTAAGGTAGCATTCATTTTCTGTGGGATCATAAGCCACTGCAGCTGTGTCATTAATCAAGAGGATGAGGTCTTTGACAAACATTCCATGCCTGGGAATGTCATTCAGGTAACCAGGAAGTAAATCTTCATCACCAACATCACCGTTCACCTCACCAGTCCCAGTCTTCTCTGCATTTTTGCTTGGTTCTGGGAGTTTACCAGCGAAAGCATCTTTTAGAACTTTGATTTTTTTCTGGAGTTCTGGGTTGCTTTTGATTATATCATCTCTCTCAACATGATCTTTAAAATACTTTTCTGTCATAAGGCGAAAACGGATACAATCAAACACTTCACTAAAGTTTTTAACCCTATTCTCCTTGTCTGTTCGCACCCATTTCATCACTGCCTCAAATACTGCTTCTTCTTTTTCTACATTTAGGTTGTCATTTGAAATGACTGAGATCAATTCCTGTGGAGACAATTGCATAAAGTCCTCTTCCTTACAAATCTGCGCAAAGCGGTCGGACACAAACTCACGGGCAGAAATGGCGAGTCTGGGGCAGTCAAGAAGAAGTCCTAATCTTAGGATGGCTAGACAGTTACCAGGAGCAAGTCTTTTCTGAAGATAAGAAACGCAGACAGTGAACACAGAGGGAATCTGAAAGCGGCTGGCCAATGCAAAAATATCTTGCACATTTCCATCATTGAGATCAATGCTGGCAGAGTACAGGTATTTGATGATTAAATCAAGTATAGCAGGATCCACATTATCTAACACTACCACCTTTTTTTTCTCCTCGTCAATTTCAGATAAAAAGTACTCACGGAAGTAAGGACTACAGGCTGACAAAATCAATCTGTGGCACGGAAGACTTTTGTCACCTGCTTTTAGGGTGCAATCGATGAATTTTTTCTCATCCAGGAGATCTTTTAGACCATCCTGAAGAAGGGTAGATTGGTAAAGCCGCAGTTCCTCTGCGAGTTCTCGCTGGGAATCCATTTTGTGAGCAACCTGGGTAAGGAAGGGGACACTGAAGGCCTTAGCTTCTTGCAGCACACGGGTCTAGCTGTAAAAAGGCAGATCGGTGTGCTCTGCCCAGCTTGAAGCCTTTGCAATTTAATCCCACCAGCTAAATATAGAAACCAACTCTAACAACGGGAATTTAGGAGCTAGTTTGGAAAGAGTTGTTCTTGCAGCTGTTACAGATTGAAAGTAACAACTGGAAATTTTAATCACTAAGGAAACAGCTAAGAAGACACGTAAGTGAGGTAGAAAGCTTTAAAATACATAAAGCATTAGAAGATACACTAATAAAGGTTATTACAAGAAAATATTTATGGAATTAACAGAAATATGAATCATAAAAATGAGTCACTCCTCTAAAAGTGTTCTAGTGGCAAACTACTTGGCTCTCTGAATTAATGATGCAAAGGTCAAGAATATGAGGAATGTTCACTTGAATAATCATAAGAAAGATCCCATTTCCAATAACTGTTACATACAAATCTTTATTTTCCACTCTAGATAGTGGGATATAGATTTTTCTTTTAGAAGTAGGAAACCAGGATGTTTACTTATATATAATAGTTTTAGAAAACCTTTAAATAATGCTTCCATCATAATTGAAATAATAAATGCAGAGAAACTGCTAATTTTCTAAAAAATTCTAAATATCATTATCCTTAGGTGGAAAAACTATAATTTTTTTTTTTTTTTTTTTTAGCCAGAGTCTCATTCTATCACCCAGGCTGGAGTGCAGTGGCACGCTCCCGGCCACCGCAGCCTCAAACTGCTAGGTTCAGGCGATCCTTCCACCTCAGCCTTCCAAGTAGCTGGAACCATAGGCATGCACCACCACACCCGGCTAATTTTTTGACTTATTGTAGAGGCGAGGTCTTGCTGTGTTGCTCAGGCTAGTCTCGAACCCCTGAGCTCAGGCAATCCTATCACCTCTGTCTCCCAAAGTGCTAGGATTTACAGGCTTTAGCCACTGCGACCGGCTATAAACAATATTGAATTAAATTATAAATTATTTAATTTACTCATATCCTGCCTTCCTGTACACAAGATTTGATGTGACAAAAAATAAGAAAAAGTAAGTCAGGTGCAGTGGCTCACACCTGTAATTCCAGCACTTTGGGAAGCAGAAGCAAGATTACCTGAGCCCAGGGGTTCAAGACCAGCCTGGGCAACTTGGCGAGACCTCGTCTCTACAATAAATAAAAAAATTAGCCGGGCACGGTGGCACAGGCCAGTAGTTCCATCTAATTAGTAGGATCGCCTGAGCCCAGTAGGTCGAGGTTGGGTGGCCGTGAGTGTGCCACTGCACTCCAGACTGGGGCTCTGACTCAAAAAGACCAACAACAACAACAAAAAAGACAAAAAAAGAAAAAAAGTAAAATAAAAGCAAAAGGTTAAGAGGAATCATCAAGACCAGAAATAAAAAGTTAAAAATCAATGCTAAAAAAATACCCACACGCATCCAAATATGATCATTCAAGAAATTCTGTAGTTCCAAGTGTTGAAAATTCTGTCATTATATAAAAGGTTAAAAAACAGAACACTGTCCATTGCATTACTGAGCTATGGTGTAGCCATGTGCTCTTTAACCTATGGCTGGGCCATGTTTTCTTAAGCCTTGGCCCCCTTCCCTTCCCTTCCTTGGGGAGGTGAATCTCTTCTTTTTCTTTCTGTAATTTACTTTCTAAATAAACTATATCCTAATCTTAAAAAAAAAAAACAGAATACTGTAACTTCATAACAATGTTATCACCAGAACAGAGAAAAATCAGGTTGAGACCCTACATCAGTCATAGAATTTGGAGAACAGAACTTTTTTTAAAAAAATAAAGCATATATAACTGGAATGATAATGTAGGTTGTTGATTAAAACAGAACACCACGTTAATTATGGAATACAGAAGTAATGATTTGAAAGGAAATGAATCCTTCGTTTATTATAGATGGTATCATATACTTCATTAAATACTTTATTACTTGATCATATTGTTATATTTTCTGAACTCCAGCTGTAGAAATACCGTAATTTCAAAGGTTGCTATTCTTAAACATGCCCCAAGGAACATAAACTCCATGAAGACAAGAATTGTAAGGGGTCTATTCTGCTCAGTGCTGTAGCCCCAAGGGCCTCCAGGGTGCTCCATAAATGTTTGTTGAATGAATCAGTGAATGCCCCCAGATCAGGGAAGTATGTATTTTTAAACTTCAAGGCCTCTATTCATGAGTAAAACCTTTTCTTTTCTTTTACGTCACAATGAAGTCAACGGTACTGTCAGCTGCTAAAACAACAGCTGAAAGAAGAGCTCATTGACTCTTTTTCCATTTATAGATGCCACTAAAGGTTTTAACACACTAGAAAAAACTAACAGCTGCTTCCTTGTTTAAACATTAAATGACTCATTTCTCTCTACACATAACATCTAACATTTGAAAAGATTAATGAGTCAGATGCAAGCACCATATGACATTTGAGATGATTCCTTACTTCTTGACAATTGTATGGTCTCTTCTGCTTGAAAAACAATATTTAAACAATATTTATGGCAGGATTTTGTCTGTGACCAGTGCAGATTTTTCAAACAACCTTTCCCCCCAATACAGGTGGTTTATTATACTTCCATTGCTTGAAAATGTAGAAATTATTTTTCATTTAAATGAAGAAACCCATTGGTATCTTTTGTTAATTTATTTAACAGCAAGATTTATTGAGAGGGCAGAAAAGCTCCCACAGTGGAAGGAGACCTGAGAGTGTTGCCTGTTCATTGATTTTTTTATTAAACTTAGGCTAGCACTCAGTTGTACTATGTGTCCATGGTTGTACATATAGTTGCATTTTATTTTAAATGTTTTTACACATGCCATCCTTTAGCTAATTTCAATTATTTGCTTACAATGCTTTTTACACTGCAATAGTGGCCAAAAACACTTAATGATGCCAGAGAGGTCACCAAGTCTTACCTAACCAAGAAAAAAAAAATCCTATTTTTGAAAACTTCAAAGAAGTTTCAGTTAATATAAACAAGAAGAAAGTTAATACATGAACTGAATGACTTCTTTACAAAATAAATGTATTCTTGCCAAAACATATTGAAATTCTTTACAAAATAGCACACAAAACATTACAAATGAGTTGATGTATTCCAAAGTTAGTTATAATTTTTAATTTTTACAAAAGCGATTCTCTAAAAATGACAGGGTTAAGAATTATAATTTGAGCCAGGCTTGGTGGTTCGGCCTATAATCCCAGCACTTTGGGAGGCTGAGGTTAGTGGATTGCCTGAGCCCGCGGGTTCGAGACCTGCCTGGGCAACTTGGCGAGACCTCATCTCTACAACAAATCAAAAAATGAACCGGGCGTGGTAGCACGTGCCTGTAGTTCCAGCTACTTGGAAGGCTGAGGCGGAAGGATCACCGGAGCCCACCGGGTCGAGGCTGGGGTGGCTGGGAGCGGCCATTGTACTCCAGTCTGGGTGACAGAGTGAGACTCCAATTCAAAAAAAAAAAAGAATTGTAATTTGTATTAGAGTTGGTTTAAGTTTTGAGCTTTGTGATAATATATTTAAACAAGATTTTTATAAGAAAACAGTATTTTGATTATTCTACAAGAATAGCTTTATTCTTTTAAATAACACTTTCAAAACATTAAATGGTGCTGCACAAATTCTTTATTAAACCCAACATGATACAGTCATTTAATATCTGAAAACTAATACTTTACAAATATTAAGTATAAAATAAACATTTACAAGTTAGGTACATTTTGATTACAATTTTAAATATAATTTTTGGAAAACTGGCAGTTTTCTAAGTTAGTTTTTCCTTAATCATTAAAAAACTCTTAAAAGCTTTAAATATAAAAACTGCAAATAGAAAAACTATTCCATGGTTTATAGCAGGTGGCTAGTATCTTTAATCTTGAGCTATCTTTAAATAGAAATCCCGCTCAACTCAAGATCAACTCATTACTTCCCAAAGTCCCTGTAGGGTGAATCCATCTTTCAGTTTCTCTATTGCAAGCCCCAGTTCTTCTGAAAATACAGGTTCACGGTCTTGTTGCTTTTGGGAGGTAAGAGGATGAGATAGGAATAGAGAAAATGGGCAAGGAAAAGGAAAAAAACAAAAAATAGGTTTCACATAAGTTTGTGAACACTAAATGCCGGAACACAGAAACTTTTTTCATTTTCCGTAGGTAAACTGTCCTTACCTTATTGCCATCAGCAAAATAAGCCTACAAGACAAAGAAAATTCTTTTCACATACTGGACACATAATATTCTAATCAGTGGACTAAGGAACAGGTGATTTGCAGAATGATTTTTTAACTAAATGTATTTTATATTCTGTTACTGTTTATCTAACTTTTTTCATCTATCTACAATGCTGGTAGCAGAATTCACTCTGCCAATCATTATTAATGTCTACAAGAGTTATGCTGTAAGCTCTGAAAAATGTGCTTTGTAATTAATGTATGATTAGCACTGTTAACTTGAACAAAAATGAAAAAATGACTTAGAAGCTATACAATTTCTTTCCTACTTTCAGTTTAGAAAAAGATAATGGCAAAACAATACAAAACAAGTACTTCAATGTGTCAGCAAATGCATATAGTTTGAGGTAGTAGTTTATAATTAAATATTTTATGCTAATTTCATATCTTTGTTTCAAAATATGTTACCAGACAGGTATTCTGGTCAGACTCATAGACTATAGTATGGAGAAAGCACTATTATAATTTTAGCTATAAATTAAATAATACCGATTTGGAAATAGGAAAGTTTATTGCTCAAATACATATTATTTTAAAATAATATATTTATAAATTAAATAAAGATCATTTTGTAAAGATTAATTATGGAAAGATTGGATTTTAAATTAATTTAACTATAATATTTAACATGTTCTATTATTCTAAAGTATGAAAAAACTTTTTGCATATCTAAAATCCTCTGAATAATTGTGTTTTCAAACTATTTCCCAGTTTGGTAATTTAAAAGTTATTGTCACAAAATAAATTCCCAAGCCTATAATCCCAGCTCTCTGGGAGGCTAAGGTGAGAGGATTGCCTGAGTCCAGGGTTCAAGACCAGCGAGGGCAAATTGGCGAGTCCTAGTCTACAATTAAAGAAAAAAAAATTAGTTGGGTGTGGTGGCACATGCCTGTAGTTCCAGCTACTTGGAAGACTGAGGCAGAAGGATTACCTGAGCCCAGCAGGTCGAGGCTGCAGTGGCCATGTGTATGCCACTGCACTCCAGCCTGGGTGACAGAGAGACTCCGACCCCCCCTCCAAAGACCTGGCCATAGCTCAAAGTGCACATGGCCACATCATAGCTTAGCAAGGCAATGGCCTAAAACACAAAATAAATTCCCTCACTAAAAATATTACATTTAAACTCATGTTTAGGATACTTTCAAGTCTGAAATTCTATGGTGTTTCACACACTTAAACTATTGTTTAATTAAATATGACTTAGATAAAAAGCATAAGAAGTTTAATAGCTCTTCTTTATGATGCTCACCACAAAAGCGTCTGTGTGATCATCAGAGTCTATTTCTACATCATCTTGAGTTTGTTCGACCGTCAGTGCTTCAAGGGGCTGTGGCTGAAAATCGTAGATGTTAAAATGCATCAGAGTCAATGTTAAGTGTATTGTGAGAATTGTAAATACTTGTAAAAGTATAACAATTACAAACTACTCAAGTCTTAAAAAAATCACTGTATAATTTATATTATTTTATTAAAAAACTAACTTGAAGACTGGGCGCGGTGGCTCAAGCCTGTAATCCCAGCACTTTGGAAGGCCGAGGCAAGAGGATTGCCTGAGAACAGGGGTTCAAGACCAGCCTGGGCAACTTGGTGAGACCTTGTCTCTACAATAAATCAAAAAATTAGCCGGGCATGGTAGCGTGTGCCTGTAGTTTCAGCTACTTGGAAGACTGAGGCGGAAGGATTACCTGAGCCCAGCTGGTTGAGGCTGTGGTGGCCGTGAGTGTGCCACTGCACTCCAGCCTGGGCAACAGAGTGAGACTCCAACTCAAAAAAAAAAAAAAAAAAAAAGGCAACTCCCAACCCATGGCAAAAGAAAAAAAAAAAAACTAACTCAAGTAATAAAACTAGTCAGTTAAACCTAAGCTTTCAAATCTTAAGTCAATATCATCAAAATAACTAGAATGGGAAATTTATACATACTTAATACAATAGAGATGTCCTTAAAGAAAAACTCACTTGACTTTGAGTTTTTTTTTGAGTTGGAGTCTCACTCTGTCGCCCAGACTGGAGTGGCCACTCCTGGCCACCACAGCCTTGACCTGCTGGGCTCCGGCGATCCTTCCACCTCAGCCTTCCAAGTAGCCAGAACCACAGGTGTGCACTACCACGCCCGGCTCATTTTTTGATTTATTGTAGAGATGAGGTCTCGCCAAGTTGCCCAGGCGGGTCTCAAACCCGTGGGCTTAGGCAATCCACTCACCTCAGTCTCCCCAAGCGAGGGATTACAGGCTGACCACCGAGCCTGGTTGAGTTTCTTTTTTTTTTGAGTCAGAGTCTCCCTCTGTTGCCCAGGCTGGAGTGCAGTGGCATGCACACGGCCACCCCAGCATGGACCTGCCGAGTTCAGGTGATCCTTCCGCCTCAGTCTTCAGTCTTTCAAGTAGTCGGAACTACAACTGCGTGCTAGCATGACCAGCTAATTTTTTGATATATTGTAGAGATGAGGTCTCACCAAGTTGTCGAGGTTGGTCTTGAACCCCTGAGCTCAGGCAATCCTCTCGCCTTGACCTCCCAAAGTGCTGGAATTACAAGCTTAAGCCAGCATGCCTGACGACTTTGTTTCTTTCACCTCACCAAAAGAACTAAGTTTTTGTATAATAACAAATTTTTAATTTTTCCCTAAATAATTATTAAATAGAATTTGTGAAAAGTAAAAGAATTAATATTTGTATGGAATATTCTAAAGGTAAAGAATAAAATGGGTGCTGGGTACGATGCCTCACACCTATAATCCCAGCACTTTGGGAGGCCGAGGTGAGAGGACTGCCTGAGTTCGAGACCAGCAACGTGGCTAGACCTCATCTCTGCAATAAATCAAAATATTAGCTGGGCGTGGTGGCTCGTGCCTATAGTTCCAGCTATTTGGAAGGCTGAGGTGGAAGGACAGCCTGAGCCCAGCAGGCCAAGGTTGTGGTGGCCATGAGCATGCCACTGCACTCCAGACTGGGCAACAGAGTGAGACTCTGACTCAAAAAATAAAATGTAGAACTGATATTTCTTAATCTGCTCATTTTTCAAATATTTGAGTATCTTTGTTTTATTACGTACTATGCTGGTACCACCAAGGGTGTAAAATCCCTACCCTTACCCACCAAGGGTTTGTAATTTACTAGGAGGAGAAAGATAAAACATAATTACAAATAACTAAACATTATGTTGAATCATATGAAACTGCCATTTTTACAAGTCAAAAAGGATCAAGTATTAACAATATCGTATGATTCAACCTACAAAAAGCAGCTGTAACAAATCTGAGGATAGCCTCAACTGATTAAACAGTGTTCAGAGCTGTGTAAATGTGTACAAGTAAACTAACTATCTAAGCCCTAGTTTCTGTAAGATAAGGACAATAATAATAAAAATAATACACTTCATAGTATCGTTAGGAAGATTAAATGAGATGGTGCATATAAAGTTCTTGGAGTAGTGAATGGCAAACTAGATGTTTAACATAGTCATCCAACAACTATGAATATTCACTAGGAGCCTATTATGTTCTAGCTTTGACTACTGGAGATATAGCCATTAAATAGAGAAAGACTCCTGACTTCATAAAGATCACTTATAGTGGAGAAGGTTAATTAGTTTTGGAAGGGAAAGAGGGAAGCAGGGTGAAAGGGAGGGCAGGCAGACACAGTAAGCAAGAAGAATAAGGGTAAAGAAAGTGATGGGGGCTGCTGTTTTAGAAGAATAGTCAGGAAAGACATGCCAGAACACATGGCATTTGAGTAGGGATGAGGTAAGCGAGTGGCTATTATGTCTGGCAGCTATTATGTACTGGGGTCAAAGAAGAGAAGTGTTGAAAAAGAATGGGAAATGGAATTAACATACTGAGTGTGTTGGCAGGGTGTGGTGGTTCACGCCTGTAATTCCAGCACTTTGGGAGGCCAAGGTGAGAGGACTGCCTGAGCCTGTGGGTTCAAGACCAGTCTGGGAAAGTTGGTGAAACCTCATCTCTACAATAAATAAATTAAAAAATTACCCAGGCATGGTGGTGCATGCCTGTAGTTCCAGCTACCTGGAAGGCTGAGGCGGAAGGATCACCCGAGTCTAGCAGGTTGAGGCTGCGGTGGCCATGAGCGTGCTACTGCACTCCAGCCTGGGTGACAGGGTGAGACTCCAACTCAAAAAAAAAAAAACCAAAAAACCAACAAAAACAAAAAAACATACTGACTGTTTTCCATGCACCAGGCATTTTACAGATACAATCAATAACTTCATGAGAGCGATTATCTCCATTTTATAATGAGAAAACTGAAGCTCAGATTTGCCTAGGATCACAAATAAATAGTGAAACTGGGATTGAAAAGTTCCAAGGACCATGCTTGTTCTGCAGCATTATTCCACAACCAAGAGTAATAACAGGAATTGCAGTTTGAATGGAAAGAAAGGGATAGGAACAGAGAAGAAATTGGCATAACTGACTGAATGTGTAAAGTAATGGGAAAAATAAAGAATGCTCCGAGGTTTTGAGTACAGTTGATCTGACTGTCATAAAAATACAAAAACAAGTAAATCAATCAGCAAATCAGCAGGACGCTGCTTTTGAGAAAAAATGATGATGTCCGTGTTAGGCATGTAAAATTTGAGATGCACATCCAAGTCCTAGTATATCTTATTGCCTTGTATATTTATTTACTTAGTTAAATTGTGAAGAAAAACTCTGAGATGAGAACTGCAATTTTTCTTATTTGGGAAGCTCATCTATGTGAAAATATTCAAGAGTATTTGGAACCATGATAAGCTGAAAAGATCAGAAGGAAAGATCTGCAGTGATCCACAAAAGTACAAGGTGAGGAAGTTGAACGAGCAGGTGACATTACTGAGGAACATACAGAGAAGGTAGCGTGAAAGGAAGAATGCTGAAATAACACAATGGGAAGAAAAAGAAAACAATGGCTGAGATGGTGAAATACAGTGTATATATAATAGCAGTGTCAACATCCCAGAGAGAAAAAAATTAAGTACAAGGAGCACTACCAGGCCATGAGGGCCTTGTTGAAGTCAGAGTGAATTTGAAAGGTTTGCTGCTGAGTCTGCTTCCTGATCCAATCTGGTCATATGATGCAGTTCAAGAGGGGAAGGAGAGATATGAATAATGGCTGTGATATGGCGAACATGCTGAGTCCCAGCAGGGGACTGATGAAAGAGTGGATGGCAAGCCACCAGCAATAGAGTGCTTAGTGAGGGTCCCAGCAAAAGAACAGAGACCAAAGAGTAGGTAGTGATGGGACCAGGGTAGAGAGAACAGCAAGGGCACCCCTAATAAATGGACAGAGACTATACCAGTGAAAGAGCAGACACCAGCAACAGAGGAGACAGCAAGGGCACCAGAGATAGACCATCCAGTAAGGGTACCGTGATAGAGAGTACAGCAAGGACATTTCTAATGGGCTGCATGGTGAGGACACTTGTGATACACTGGATAAGAACGTCCCAGCTGGAGAGACGAGTCAAATCAAAAGAAGCTGATGCACCTGGAGAGCAGGGAATGGTACAGAAAGCAGAAAACACGAGGAAGGCAAATAGCAGACATGAGGGCATGATATTCAAAATGTTTCATAACTGGTATGGAAGAGGCACTGACCAACAGGAATGGACACAGGCAGACTCCTGGAGTTGCTGTATTGTGGGGCACTAAAGAAGGAGATGGTATCCATGAAGACTGCAAAATTTGTCCATGCTAATAGGAGGCTGAAATAGAATAAAAATAAAGCTGACAGAGAGACTCAATTCTATCTACATCAGAGGATCCTTTTCTGGATGGCTGCTCACCTAGAAGGGCAGGGATGGAGGAGGGTGGGAAAGAACGCTGAAGCAGCCTGTTAGAAGACGGGTGGTAGACACAGATTAGTGATGGTCGGGGCCATGCTCACTGGAGAGAGTCTGTATAGTCATCATTTGTAACAGTTTAAATTGTATGCAGTGGTATTTACATTGAATTTTATAGATTATATACAAGCAATTCGGCAAACTGTATTTCACATACTCAATAAATTAATTACCTTTTCTTCCATCTCATAATCAACTCCAAATATAGGACTGGCAGAATAGACTTTGTGAATTGAATTGATTTCCTTAACTGATTCTTGTAGTTTTTCCACAGGATCTATTTTAAAGCCAAGAACATATCCTCCACTCTATAAGAAAGAATAATGAAAAAACAAAAAAGAAACCTGAAGAACAAACAGTATTTATAGTATATGATAAACTATAGCTCTAATTGTCCCTATTTTAGAATATATACACATATATAAGTTGAGTTTTTCAAATTAAACTTTTTACTATGAAAAATTTCAAGCATATGCAAAAAGTATGCTATTGAAAAAATAAAAATAGGAAATGATTAAATTTGTTATGTTTTATGAAAAAAAATAGAAGAGTACAATGAGCATACATGGAGACATCACCGAGCTTCAAGAAACCTACAACATATGGCCAACGCTGTTTCATCTACAATCTCTCTCTCAACTGAACACCCCAACCCCCTCAGGATTATATTGAAGCATATCCAAATATAACACTATTTCATCCTTAAATATTGAAGCTGATCTTTCAAGATTTAAAAAACACACTATAGATTGTGAAGGCCAAGGGAATTAAGTTTTTCTTGGCTAGGACTCGAACAGAAAAAGACTGCTAAAAGAAGAAAAGGGCACAGTGGCTCACGCTTGTAACCCCTGTACTTTGAGAGGCACTGGTGGAAGGATCACTTGAGGCCAGGAGAATAGCGTGAGCCTAGGAGATCGAGACCAGTCTGGACAAAATAGCAAGACCCTGTCTCTGAAAAAATTAAAAAATTTAGCCACATGGTGGCGCTTGTTTGTGGTTCCAGTTACAAGAAGGCTGAGGCGAGGAGAATGCCTGAACCCAGGAGGTCAAGGCTGTGGTGAGCTATGATCATAGCATAGTACTCCAGGCTGGGTGGCAGAGTGAAATTCCTACTCAAAAATAATAAAATAAAAATAAATAAATAAAATAATGGGCTGCCTGAGGCCATATCTTTGAAGAACTAGGAAAGAAACTTGATCATGATAGGTTGTCTAAGAGGAGTGTTAACAAACTAAGTAGCAGACTGTAATAGGTGAGAACATATGTTTTGGGTTAAGAGCACAGTTTTTGTGTTAAAATTCTGGTTCTACAACTAATTTTTTTTTGAGGCAGGGTTTAATTCTGTCACCCAGGCTGGAGTGCAGTGGCATGATCACATCTTATCACAGCCTTAACCTTCTGGGCTTAAGGCTCAAGCAAACCTCTTGCCTCAGCCTCCAGAGTAGCTGGGACTTACAAGTATTTCAAGTATACGCAAAAAGTATGTTATTGAAAAAATAAAAATAGGAAATGCACCACCACACCCATCTAATTTTTCTATTTTTTGTAGAAACGGGGTCTCGCTTCGTTGCATGGGCTGGTCTCAAACTCCCGGGCTCAAGCAATTCTTTCACTTCGGCCTCCCAAAGTGCTGGGATTACAAACATGAGCCTCTGTGCTGGGCCTTGAGACCTCCATTTTTTTATACCATGAAATGGTTATCAAGTTGTTTTCTTAAGATACATATATATATGATACTTGGTACAGTTCCTGGAACAGAGTAAGCACTCAGTAAATGGCAGCTATAGGCCAGGGGAAAAGAAAGAGCAAACATTCATGTTTAGATTTAGAAGACAAATGATTTCATAAATTGCTTTTTAGCTGGGCAGGGTGGCTCATGCCCATAATCCCAGCACTTTGGGAGGTGGAGGCAAGAGAATTGCCTGAGTCCACGGGTTTAAGACCAGCCTGGGCAACTTAGCGAGACCGCATCTCTACAATGGCAACAGAGTGAGACTTTGACTCAAAAAAAAAAAAGGTAAAAAAAAGAAAAAATTGCCTTTAAAAAATATATTTTAAATGTTTTTAAATCAGTCAAATTTAGCAATGGGGGTTTATATACCAACTTTAATGACATTAATGTTAATAAGTTCTGATAACTTACTACCACCAGACCAGAATAGGTGTATTATTTAAATGTATTTTTAGGGCAGGCGTGGTGGCTTGCTTGAGGTCAGAAATTCAAAATCAACCTGGACAACAAAGCAAGACCCTATCTCTACAAAAAATTGTTTTAAAAAATTAGCCGAGTCGGGCTCGGTGGCTCAGCCTGTAATCCCGCACATTTGGGAGGCTGAGGTGAGTGGATTGCCTGAGCCCGCAGGTTTGAGACCCGCCTGGGCAACTTGGCGAGACCTCATCTCTACAATAAAAATTTAAAAATTAGCCAGGCGTGGTAGCGCGTGCCTGTAGTTCCAGCTACTCGGAAGGCTGAGGCGGAAGGATCGCCGGAACCCCAGCAGGTCGAGGCTGCAGTGGCTGGAAGCAGCCACTGCACGCCAGTCTGGGTGAAAGAGTGAGACTCCAACTCAAAAAAAAAAAAAATTAGCCAGCCAGGCACGGTGGCTCACACCTATAATCCCAGTACTTTGGGAGGCCGACGTGAGAGGATTGCCTGAGCTCAGATGTTTGAGACCAGCCTGGGCAGTTTGGTGAGACCTCATCTCTATAATAAATTAAAAAAAAAATAGCCGAGCATAGTGGAGCGTGCCTGTAGTTCCAGTTACTTGGAAGGCTAAGGCAGAAGGATCGCCTGAGCCCAGCAGGTTGAGGCTGCAGTGGCTGTGAGTGTGCCACTGTCCTCCAGCCTGGGCGACAGAGGGAGACACCAACTTAAAAAGAAAAAAAATTAACCAAGTATGATGGTTGTGTGCCTGGAGTCCCAGCAACTTGGAGGCTGAAGCAGGAGGATGGATGGAGCTCAGGAGTCTGAGACTGCAATGACTGTGCCACTGTACTTTAGCCTGGGTGACAGAGAAAGACCTTGTCTCTAAAAATAAATAAATAATACATTTCTACAAAAATATGGCATAATGGAAAACTGCAATTTATAATTAGATATAGTACAATCTGTATGTGAGAATAAAAAACCTCAAGCAAGGTGTGTGTGTGTGTGTGTGTGTGTGTGTGTGTGTATCTTCTCAAGGACAGTCTTATAAATCAGTCAGATCTGGAATAAAAACTTAGTCCCACCACTTATTAGCTGTCAGATCATGAGCCAGGTTCCTAACTTCTCTAAGCCTCAGGTTCCTTGGTTGTAAAATGAGAAAAAAATAGTAACCGTATCACTGGATTGTATGAAGACTGAGATAAAGCATGAACAGCCCTTAGCACAGTGACATGACTCTGTCATTAATAATAAAAGTGTTGGCCGGGCTCGGTGGCTCAGCACTTTGGGAGGCCGAGGCGAGTGGATTGCCTGAGCCCACGGGTTCGGGACCAGTCTGGGCAACTTGGCGAGACCTCGTCTCTTAAAAAAAAAAAAAGAAAAGTGTTGATTATAATGATAACAATGATTATGTTAGTCTGACAACAAAAAAAAAATAAGCAGATTCTTCCTGTGGGAACAGTTACCATAAGACTTCAAACACTTCATATAACTTCATATTACAGCTGATATTCTTCTCAGATGCAAACTGGTTATTATATAAACAAAACTAAAAATCTAGACTGTCACATAGTTTAAACATCTATCAAAGATTAATAAATATGTAAAATATCTTACCTGCTGAGAGCTTTCTATGACAAGAGCTAAACCAAATTTTGAATCCCTAATCTTTATTGAACGCTAGACATGAAATGAAAAAGAAAATAAAGCATGTTTTTATTATCTGACAGTAGTGATTCTTTAGCCCAGTTTTAAAACTTTTATACAGTAATTACTTTTCACAGTATAAAAGACAGAGTTTTCCTTCTTTCCTTCATTAAACTCCCACAGAGATCAAGTAAATGAACCAAGACTCATATTGAAAATAGGTGGCAAACTTATAAGGCAGTATAAAAAACGTAGCTTTGAAATATATACAAAATTCCCTGACTTGAATATGCTTCACTTCAAGGAGTCAACTTTTATTTTAAACAAAAGGTCAGCAATCTTTTAGTTATGGTGAGCCAGTGTCTTGTTGGGGTCTAAGGCTGGATTCATTTTTTAATTAATTAATTAATTAATTAATTTCTTATTTTGAGTAACAGTCTCACTCTGTCACCCAGGCTGGAGTTCAGTTGCACGCTGACAGCCACTGCAGCCTTGACCTGTTGTGCTCAGGCAGTCCTTCTGCCTCAGCCTTCCAAGCAGCTGGGACTACAGGTACATGCCACCACACCTGGCTAATTTATACTATAGAGAGGAGGTCCTGCCAAGTTGTCCAGGCTGGTCTTGAATCCCTGGGCTCAGACAATTCTCTTGCCTCTGCCTCCCAAAGTGCTGGGATTATAGGTGTGATCAGCCATAGGTAGCTGAATGCTTAAAGAATACCAGTCATAGGTAGCTGAATTCTTAAAGAACCTCCATTTTATTTATTTTTTAAAAATAAATTCATGGGCATTCATCACTGGGAATAAAGGAAGCTGGGATCAATCAGATGGTACATGCGACATGAGCATTAATCTTTGTCAGCGGGAGATGGGTGTTGACACCTGTGGCCTAGGAGAAGGGAAAAGGAGTAGAAGCACAATGGTAGGCAGGGCCTGGAGAAGTGACACAAAATGTACTTGCTAGCAGGGTAGGGAAGAACCGTCAAAGACCTGACATTATGACCAGGTGATGATGGGGCATCACACCAGACAGAGGGGCACTGGAGGAGAGGGAAGAGATTAAGAAAGAGAGGAGAAGGTCGAGTGCAGTGGCTCACGCCTATAATCCCAGCACTTTGGGAGGCCGAGGTGAGAGGACTGCTTGAGCCTGTGGGTTTGAGACCAGCCGGGGCAACTTGGTGAAACCTCATCTCTACAATTAATAAAAAAATTAGCCAGGTGGCGCGTGCCTGTAGTTCCAGCTACTTGGAAAGCTGAGGTAGAAGGATCACCTGAGCCCAGCAGGTCGAGGCTGTAGTGGCTGGGAGCATGCCACTGCCCTCCAGCCCGGGTGACAGAGTGAAACTCCAACTCAAAAAACAAAACAAAACAAGAAAAAAAAGAAGGAAAGAGACGAGAGAGAAAGAAAGGCTTTACTGGCAATTATTATGAAAACCTGGCCTCTCATCTAGACTACTGTACACACCACCAAGAGTATTCACAGTCACGGTTAAGAACCACAGAACACTGGTACTCTGGTTATCAAAAGGTAATCTAACTAAGCGACTGTGGGTGAAACAGGCTGTTAAGAGGGAAACTGGCAAGAAGCTGATGTATATCTATAGGAGCGGGGTCAGGGTAATGGCTGAGGCATAGAGCTGAAGTTAGAATATGATTGCTGTAGTAACAGATTGGTGATATCAGACTGCAAGTTGCTTGGGCCAGACTGAATTCATTCCAGAGGCCATACTTGGCAACTTTATTCTTAAATAACAAAAAACATCCTATTTGAAGACAGAAAGCACAAGGTTCTTTACTGCTCAGTAATTACTGAGCATAGCAAAAGTTAGGTTAGAAGCTATAATACATGTAAGTGAAATATAAAAAAGCAATGAACAATACAAACACCAATTTGTCAAATACCTATATAGACATCTTCCCAGCCTTGATTATAAATTCTTGTATTTCTTTAGATGGCCAGAAATAATTTTCTTCCTATGAGAGTCTATAATTTTCTGTTTAATGTGCTGCTTTTCTCCACCAGACTGAAAGCTCCTTGATGGCAGGAACTGTGCATTGGTTCATAATTGTATTTCTAGCACCTGCACAGAGTAGGTACTCAATATTTGGCAAATGAATGAATGGATGATCAGATATTTTAACGAAACTCAGAAATCAAACAATTTAGCAAAAGATAGACTTGGGAATATTTTGCAAAGAATTATCTTTCTCTTTTTTTATACTTTATTTTAAAGATGTGGGGGTACGAGTCAGAATCAGGTACATAAATAATCTATGTGCACGTAAAGTTTGGGCCTTCAACTGGTTCTCACTTTCCCTGGTGTAGAATCAGGTACTCTTTATGTTGTTACCACCTTCCTCCCTTTCCTGGCAGGGTCCCACGACTGCTGATCCCTTCCTTGTGCTGTTGTGAGTAATGTTCAGGTCCCACTTATGAGTGAGAACATATAGTATTTGGTTCTTTGTTTCTGTGATAGATTGCTAAGAATGACTGTCCCTAATTCCATCCAATATGCTAAGAAGTCCATGATTTTGTTCATCTTTATGGCTATATAGTATTCCATCACATATATTTCCACATTTTCTTTATCCAATCTACTTTCTTTTTATTTTGAGTCACAGTTTCACTCTGTTGCCTAGGCTGGAAGGCAGAGGCACACTCATGGCCACTGCAGCCTCGACCTGCTGAGCTCAGGCGATCCTTCCACCTCAGCCTTTCAAGTAGCTGAAACTACAGGCATATGCCACTATGCCTGGCTAATTTTTTGATTTATTGGAGACAAGGTCTCACCAAGTTGCCCAGGCTGGTCTCGAACCCCTGAGCTCAGGCAATCCTTTCATCTTGGCCTCCCAAAGTGCTGTGATTACAGGCTTGAGCCACTGTGCCCAGCCTATCTAATCTACTTTCTATGGACACTAGGGATGGTTCATGTTTTTGCTCTTGTGAATAGTGTGGCAATGAACACATGTATATGCAGGTATTTTTTTTTTGCTGAATGATTTGTGCTCTTCTGGGTATATTCCCAGGAGGGGAAGAATTATCTTTCTCATAAGCCAAAATTCTCTTTTTAAAAAAATGATATTTTTCAGATATCATATATACTGTATCTACTCAATAAAAATAAAACTAATTAGTCTTAAGACTGCATATCCTACAACAAGGGCAATTATCATAGGATAACCTCACAGGATTTTTTTTTTTTTTTTTTTTTTTTTTTTTGGGTTGGAGTCTCACTCTGTCGCCCAGACTGGAGTGTAGTGGCCGCTCCCGGCCACCGCAGCCTCGACCTGCTGGGCTCCGGCGATCCTTCCGCCTCAGCCTTCCATGTAGCCGGAATTACAGGCATACGCTACCACGCCCAGCTGATTTTTTGATTTATTGTAGAGATGAGGTCTTGCTGCCCAGGCGGGTCTCGAACCTGCGGGCTCAGGCAATCCACTCACCTCAGCCTCCCAAAGGCGCGGGATTACAGGCTGAGCCACCGAGCCCGGCTTTTTTTTTTTTTTGAGTTGGAGTCTCACTCTGTCACCCAGACTGGGGTGCAGTGGCCAAG